GCCCACAGCCAACTATGATTACCATTTAAAAAAACAAGTTTATTTTTTATCTCGTAAATCAAGTTCACTATGACAACGAGTGCTAGTTTATTGAATTCAACGCAAAAAGTTCTACCAAAGACGATTTTAACTTTTCTTCTAATTTAAGCAGTTTACGAATTATATGATAATTAAAAAAGTGTTGATTTCTTGCCTTTACAGGATATTTCAGGAACCAAGTCGGGTACCTAAATTTTGAAAATGTAGAAGTTACCCATACAAAGATTCAGAAAATGGCCACCCTGTATAGATAGGAGATAATAAAATATGAAGGCAACTTACATAAGTTAATTAAGATTAGTTCTTTTCGAAATATTTCCTTCATTTCGAATCAGAACTAACTAGCTATTGTGCAAAAATCGCTCGAGCTTGCTTTAAGAAAGGAAGTGAGTCCAGACAATTTCAAATTGCAACGAAATAAAAATGATGTAGATCTCTGTAACCATCAGCAAACAATAACATGCTTTTCGTAAATTCATGTAATTTTAATACGACTAAACATTTTGATCTACACAACTCAAGCAGCTGTTATTAGTGAGGAACAAGTTTAAATAGCTACTAAAAGTTGAAGGGTCTAACAATGAGCCAGTTTTGTTTAAAATAAAAATCAAATATAATCCGAATTGGCCCAGAGTGGAATCCAAAAATCAGATACTTTTCCCCATCTGGCGCCCATTTCCAGGGAATTTAAAGAAGTAGTCACAGCGGTGAGGAAGTTCTCAAAAGAAGTGATTTCCTTAATTAGCTAGATTTGCATCAGACTGCCACAAATAACATGATGCACATGTAAACATGAACGTTACCATAAACGAACTCTTGGTATCATGACCATACATCATACTCATCCCAGTTTACCACCCACCCAATATAAAAGTGTGGCTAACACAATTTTTTGATCGACACATGCAAACTCGATTTCCTGAATAATCTGGAGATGAACGAAAAGAAACGAACTGCCACTGTTGATTGCTTGTATGTTAACAATCACATATGCATTTCAACATACAAAGTTGCAACATTGTTTGCAGGTCTGAGTGTAGCTGGGATTGATTTAACTATTACATAGATTGCGACACGATCTAATTTGTGACATGTTGCATGAATTTGCTCAGTTCAGCTCTTGTTGTGGGGTCATTTACAGTAGAGTGGCTCCCTTATTAGTTTTGTACATCTAGTGCTAACTAGACAAACAACCTTGGCAAACAAATCAGGAGCTTCCAATTTTAATTAACAAGCTAAAGCAATAATACAGGTTAATTCAAAATTGGCGTAATTCTTTTAAGGTAGGAGATCACTTAGAGAGTGCACTGCTGCCAAGAATGCACGATAAAGTGTTTGGTGACATAAAGTGACACAAACATGTTTGGAGTTAAACGCGCAGAACTTCCAACAGTGTGATTTAGCAACTTAATTACTAAACTTATTTCCTTCTATTTTGATCTGTTCATAAGATATGCCCACGTTCAACTACCATATGATGCAAAGATTTACTGAAGGAAACCGGGAGGTTACGGATCAAAAGTGCGTGGATAAATTATAGATATATCGGCACATGAATTAAAAAATATGTGCAATCGGATCAACAGCAGGACCTTCAGATCTGTCTGCTCCATAAAAGAAAGGAATTTGGAATTTTAAACTGATGATAGGCAGGGGCGCAAAGCTATCCGTTGGAATTAGATCAAACATTTCTCAGAAGTACCCCCTTCTCATCTAAGCCCACAAAATTATTGTATTTTGTTTAATTCTCCTAAATGGAAAAAAAAACATTTGAGGTGGTTAGTTCTGCAATAAAGTCCTAAATATTTATGCTAACTTAATCATACCACGCTGTTTGCAAACATTTTAGTACAAAAAAGTGGCCGGCTAGGACAGTGTAATTCATAACGCTAAGATTTCGATCTTTGTCCATGCTCATATGAGCTGTTCAACAATAAACTTGGATTAGTTCAGTTTCCAGCTCGTGTTTCTTTCTTTCGCCTGTTGCATTAGCTCTTGCTTCCATGCACGTATAAAAGACTCGTTAGGATTTGAAGACGTAAATCCTGAATCAATTCCATGATTCTTTAACAAAAATGGTGTGGCATTTTGTACAATTCAGTGTTAATGTGATGGAATTAGTTTTGAAAGTGTTCCGCACAATTGCATTCTAAGCATTAAAGTACTGACTTCAGCTGGTCCGTAGTGAATAGCGAGCATATTGCAAGTGGATTATTTATTTGAAAAAAACATAGCACATAATTAAGCATATCCAATCTCAGATGCAAGTAACGTCGAAAACTTCACAGTCGTTAAATATTCTAGAGAACGCATCTTAACTCCTAGTCGGTTCGCGTTAATTGGAGATCAGACAGTCTGATCAAAGTGTCTGGTGACAGTGTTGTATAATTTAAAAATCATTTACCCGCACAGTAATTTAGCCACTCCGAATTTGCATGAAAATCGATTGGGGAGTATCAAATCCAACTCTGGCCCTGTAACAAGTTGTCGAACAACGACCATCTATCATTATTTATTGCGAATAATGATGTGGCGGCAATTTACTTACACCAAATATATTCGATTAAAACTTTTTGTAATATCATAATCTAGTTTAAGATGATTGATTGACTGAAAGCGTTCGAAAAAAGTTCATTTGGAATAAGCAAATTATTTAAAACTATTAATTAGTAGTACACAAGTAGAGTACTACAAAGTAAATAAGTACACAAGTAAAGTTTTGGCAGCAAAATGAACAATTGTCTAACTGATCTCAGTGGCTAATAAGGTAAATACTAGTCCAGATAGGATAACCTGCCTAAATTAGAAATAAATTTAAGCTCTTTCCATCCAAGGAAATGCTCAGATTACCGAATGATCCCACTCATCAACCCCACCTTAAAGTTGTTTTTAAAGACGCGAAGAAGACATTGTTTTTCAACGCTGCTTCAAATGAAAGCTCATTTGAAAGAGATAAATCAAAACTCAACAAAGGACCGAAATTTCAAACAAATATGTCCTAAATCCTACTTCGTAACATATAGATATTAATTCAAAAACAAAATATAGTCATAAATTTGCATCTGAAATGACTCACGTACTGGTGGCATTCTTTTAACCAATATCGCAGTAATGTTTGATGTAAGATGATCACTTTTCACTATACTCTTAAAGAGATTCAACATTATACGAAAACCCATCCCATACCGAATATCGTTTGAAATATTCCCGACCTTATCTTTCCACCATTTGCCAAATTGGCTTTCGTCTTCCGTAATAAGAAGTTCTGTATATAAGTACGTACTCTGTATAAATAAGTATTTTGGGGAACAAAGTTGAAAACTCTTAGTGAAATATTAAGCTGTGCCAGAAAAGCCGCAGAAAAATTATTGTCCTTACAAATAAAAGTAGATAATAAAAGATTTTAGGATGTCTGTGGTACTTGAAGACAGGGAATAATTTTGGAGAGGTCTAGGGGCTGGCATGTTTATTGAAAAGAGAAAATGATCGTTATGTGGAATTAAGCGGTTGCGCTTCGGCACAAGTAAATGGTTAAACCCGAAACATCATATATTTGTTTTATTCTCAATCAATTCTTGTGCACAGCACAGCAAAGATTTTGAGCTTTGCTCCCAGGGGAGACAGTTTCTGGGAAAATAATTGAGCTGAAACAGCAGCATCAAATAAAACAAAGTTCAACGAAATAGCTACCATCTATCGATCACACTTAACACGACCTTTGCAACTAAATTGGAAAGTAATCTAAGGAATTTGGTGCTGATTAATGCTC